TCACCACTCTCACAGTAATAAACTTTTCCCCAATATCTAACCTAAGTTTCCCCTCTTTCATTTTGTACCCATTGCCTCTTGCCCTGTCACTGCAGCTCCTAACAAAGAGTCCCTCTCCAGCTTCCCTGTAGCCCCTTCATAGAATCAGCCAGGTTAGAAACGACCTCAAAGATCATCGAGTCCAACCCTACCGTCATCACTAGACCAGGGCACTAAGTGCCACATCCAGTCTCATCTTGAAAACCTCCAGGGACGGTGAATCCACCAGCTCCCCGGGCAGCCCATTCCAATGTCTGATCACTCTCTCCATAAAAAAATCTCTCCCTGGTATCCAACCTAAACCTCCCCTGGCAGAGCTTGCCCTGAGAAGTTTGGATGCTCCATAGCCCTAGAAGCATTCAAGGCCAGGTTGGATGGAGTTTTGATCAGCCTGATCTATTTAATAATGTCTCATCAGATCGGAACCCCCAGCTCCCTCAGCCTCTCCTCATGGCACTTGTGCTCGAGTCCCTTCACCAGCCTCGTTGCTGTTCTCTGGACCCACTCCAGCACCTCAATGTCCCTCCTGAACTGAAGGGCCCTTCAGATACTGGAAGGCTGCTATGAGGTCTCCATACAACCATCTCTTCTCCAATCATCTCACACCAAGCCATGAGATCAGATACAGCTTCCTTTAAACTTGTTTTGTTATCAAATAAAAGGCAGAGCTGCTTCATTAATTGCTAATTACATCTTTCCAAATTCTTGCGGTGCTTATCGCGTGGGCTGTGTGGCCAGCGCGTTTGTACCCCCCTTGTTCTGAAAGCCCTGCTAAAGTGCATGTGCCCTTTCTGCAGCATTGTTTCTAGAGGCAGGTAGTATTTTTATTCAAATTGTTTTGAATAACAACAAAGTTGTAATCAATAAAAAAGAGTCAGGCAGAGGTGTCAGGAATGTCCATTTGGTTTTACATCACTTTATTTGTTAGATCATGCAAGTAGTATGTAAACAACATTTGGATTTCGCTTTAGTAAGTAGAAGCATAGTGACTTTCAGTAGCTCAAGGGCTTATTCTGTTCCTGACTTTGCTACCAATTTGATATGTGACTTTGGGCAAGTCCTAACAAAGTCAAATTTTAAAAGAAGGCCTCTGGTTTAGGAGACGTGATTTCAGGCATTTCAGGCTCAGTTTTTATGAGCTTCTAGGCATTCACAACCCCTATGACTTCCAGTGCAAGGAATGAAGGTGTCTGACCCTGAGCCGTTCAAGCCTATAAAAGTTGACCTTGACACTGTGGGGCTTCTTTTCTAGTGCGTATGATTATTCTGAATGAACACACAATTGAGGAGGTGTTTGGAGAGCCTTACATGAGCAGTATAAATGTATGAGTCCTAATTTTTATTGTGCACTTATATATTGCTATAATGAATACAAATTTACTTACTCTGGTGCAAAAGACAATGTTAAATCAGAAGAAATCAGCTCCTGTGTGATGGGAGGGAGGATGTCAGTTTTGAAGAGAGGCAGCTTGAGTCCTGTTGCAGCTCTGCACAGGAGGACTGTCCCTGCAGGTCACTTCATTCACGTCACAGGGTTTGGGATTCTGCTGAGGCACTTTGAGTTGGGAGTCTGGTTGCCTGAGGAATAGTTCCTCTGAGAGACAGGCCAGCCTGCCTAAAATGAATCAGCCCCCCCCATGAACTGATCTTTGTGGACTGAAGGAGTCCCAGGGGAACTTAGCTTTCTGCTCTGGTGACCCAGCAGAATGAATTGAAAACTTAGCCCATGAGTGATGAAGGTGCTGAAATGCTTTTGCTTCTGGCTTGAGTTGGAGATACTCACTGTTAAAGTCAGGGCAGGAGCATCTTCACTTGTGTTCCTCATCCGTAAAATAAAGCTTACCTGTTTCAGCCCTTGCTGGGCATACAGGCTGTAATCTTGGAAGTTAATTCAGCATTCATTAACTATGTGCCCCTAGACTCAATTATATTTTTATTAAATTTATTTCCTCTGCAGGCTTTTATAATATATCAGAATTAACAAGTGAAGAGAAATGACTGAAAAGAAAAAGTTCAGTTATGGAGAAAATATTGTTCAGCATCTGAGGTGACTGTGTCTGTACCTGACAAATTTTATTGCTACTCTTCAGTGTTCATGAAAACAAGCAAACAAAAATTAGCTGTGAATTCACATGTTAAATAAAATAGATGGCCTCAAAAAGCCTTGTTCTCTACTGAATACTGCTACTTAGACAAGCCTCCATATAACACAGCAAATTCAGCTGTTATCATTCCTATCTGAGGAGAGGCTGTGAATAGCAGCACTACATGGTCCAGGATATTAGATTTGGGTGAACTGGCAGAATGCATGGGATGGCTTGGAAACACCTGTGTGCACTCATCAGCGTGCTCAGTCACACTCCAGCAGCCCTGAAATAACTCCCATCATTTTAAAGTGGAAGTGGCACTGAATTTTGACTTAAGAGGTCCACCGAAGCATCCTGGCTTTTCTGGTACAAAGATATTGTCAAGGAGTGTGTTTGCTTTCACTGCACTGGCACTGAGACACTCAGTGTCTCTGGGGAGTGTGTCTGTATGGATAGCCTGTTATTCGTGCCTTCACAGAGGTATCAGTGCTCAAAATGTGATCACTGAACAAGAAACTGAAAGATTAAAATAAGGACATAGTTATTTTATTAGTTTGTAATGTAACAGAAAAGGCAACCATTTTGGTTTACTGTGCATCAACATTGGGATACTATTTTTGCTGTCCAGCAAGGTGAAGATGGCTTTTTCTTTGGCTCACCATGCTTTCCTGCGTAGATGCTTGACAGTGGTAGAATGTTGCAGTAGGTATCTTTGTCTTTAGAAAGGTCAGAAAAATGGTGGTTGTACTGAGTGCGTGGTGTCAGCAGATACCAAGACAAAAGGAACAAGAGGACACCATGTTTAACTAGCCAGACAGATGCCAAAACAACCCCAGGACTTGGAGGTGGTAATAAAAGGCCTTCTTCGCCTACTCTTTTGGTTCCCCAGTTGAACCTTTCCTGCTACAGTGCCAAAATACTGCATGCTTTGGATAAAGTGTAACCACTTAAATTTAAATAAGATGAACAAAAAGAATGGCATCACTGTGATCAAATAGTTCTTACCTAATCTCATTGGTTGCAAACAGAGCAACCCAAGCCATTGAATTATACCTCTGGAACTGAGAAGTCTGATGTTGATTTAATATTTACAATGGCTTGAGAGTCACATTATGTAAAATCTGTCGGATTGAAGCTTGTCAAACAGCCATACCCTCTGGCTGCACAACTGAACAGCTGAACGCCAATCAAGCACTTCTGCTGAGTAAACCAGTGGAACTTTCTAATATTAGCTGCCTGCTGAAGTGGGGAGTTGAAAGATACAGATGTATAAGCAGTTCGCTGACTCTTGCCTAGGATCTGCCTGTTCCCTTGTCTGTTTGTGCACTTGTTAAGTGGAGTAGGCAGCAAGCTGAGGGCCCACCTCCTGTGCCTCTTGACCAGATTTTATGGAGCTGGTGGTGTCTGTGACAGTGTAGCCTCATACTCAGAGGTGAGAAAAGAGAAGGGCATGACTTGCTGTTCAGTGTTTTTGTCTCTTTCTTCAACAAAACAGGCATAAAGGGAACAGACATGTACTTGCTGTAAAAACACCCTTCTGGCTCAATATTTTGTGTTGCGATCTCTTTAGAAGCAATTCACAAAATCTCATAGGGAAAAATCTGCTGGTTGACTTTTGGTAGTTGAAAGCAGCTGGTGAAATGCTGGAGAGCCAGTGCTACTGGTGAGTTTTTCCAGAGCACCATGTGAAGGGTCATCCAGTAAAAGACCTGTGGTGGAATGACATGCTGCCTCTCAGTGGGTCTTTGTGCAAATACTGGATTTGATTCTGGTCTCACCTTTACTGGAGGGAAGTGTTTTTGCTGAAATTAAGGGAGTAGGTCTGGTGTTGAATTAAAGGAAAAGCCAAAATTGAGACTTCACCATTTCAAAAGCTATAGAAATTGATTAATTTTTTAAGTTCTGTTCTAAATTCCATTGTTGTGGATTTTCATATCTCTTACTACTTGTAGTGTGAAGAATCCACAAATTTTCCCCTGAGGGGAATTAATGAAGTGCTTTTAATGTTCCCAAACCTTTGCAATGCAATTAACTTTTCTCTGCCAATCAACTTCATCATCTGTTCATAACTTAAATAAGATCAGCTGAAGTTGCCATCAATTTTTTTAGTTCACGAGCTAAGGAGGAATTAAATTGGGCAACTAGCTGAGATTCACAGTGCTTTACAGTATTAACTGGGCAGTGATGTTTTTCTGTAGAAATAGCAAGTCTGTGGGGACTGAGTTAATTGCTGGTTTTCAGTGCGATAACTCAGTGTGATCTCTCTTCAGTTCTGCTTTATGGTAAATTTGAGTCCTGGCACTAATCGGTATTATCTTTTCATCTGGCATTTGGGGCTTTGTTAGTGGTTATTTGTCTGGAATGATTGCATTTGTTGATGCTAATTTATAATTAAATTACTATTTTAAAAGGGAAGAAGAGTCTGGTTACTTGCACCTCAATGCTCTTGATGGGTTTTTTCCATTTGCACTTATAAAAAGTCATTTGATAAGGCTCATTATATAGTAACTTGAGGTGTTTGATAAACCTCAAGTTTTTATGTGTTTCTGTTTCTTACAGAATGCAAAGTTTGGCGAAATCCTTTAAATCTGTTCAGAGGAGCTGAATATAATCGGTAAGTGCTACAACGTTGCAGTTTCCAGGCATAGTACTGAGTTAAGGAGCTTAAGTCTACTTTTCCATTAATCTAACTCAGAGGTAGAAAACCAAACACAACTGTGGATACTCATACCAAGTTTTTCAGTAATTCATAAAATGTTTCTGAATGAAAAAGAATTTAAATT